TAGGAGTTGAAACTCCTTGGAAATTTTATCTTTATAAGATATATAACTATCACATCTTTCCACCTATTAAAAGACATGAACTCCAAGTTAGGGAACTCAATATCCACACCTTCTCCTTTACCACTTCCCCCAAATCTCCCACTGGGCAAATTCTCTGACTTGGTAGATCAGTGCAACATCTGGCACGAAAACGGAAACTATTTTTAAAAACAAAAGTAAGCATCACCTAACTAACTGGGTTTCTCTGTCATGCCCAGAACTTGGAAGTGAAACCAGGATATCTAATAATAGACAACAGGCACTAAAATGAGTACCGTCTGTTGACAGCCCGAATGTGAAAGGATGTTTGAAAAGATCCAAAACGTAACTTTGATAAAATGTTTGGGTTTTCCTCCCAAATGTGAACCTCAAGGGTGTTTCCAGCAGTGCTGCAGGTAGCGCGTTCAGATTAGGCTAGTGGCCCTGCTGGAATGCTTCCCTTCCTCTCTACTTTTGAGTATTATCAACAGAAGGGACACACATGTTCACTCTCGGAAATATGGCCTCTCACAGGACACACGGCCTTTGTCAAAATGGCACCAGGCCTTTAGAAGTTCTTGTACACAGAAAGAGCTCAAGAAAAGCTGGTGGGATGGAGTCATTAAAGCAGGAAGACTTTTACTCCATCAATTCATGGATGAAGGCAGCTTTTGATGGTCTGGCTCCAAACCAACTTACTTTCATTTTGTTTCAAATTTCTTCCTTTAGCCTACCCTGACTTTATTTAAGTAAACCAAGTTCTCTCTTCCTTTTGGGCCTCCTCAGGTGCCCTTCCTTCTCACTGGAACAAGTGCCCCTCCACCCTAGGAACCCAACCTCTCCTTCAGTTCAAAGCACAGATGGTGGTTTCCTAAGAAAGGAAGACTTCCCTTAGACTCCCAATAAGGTGATCTTTCTTGATCTGTGCTCCTATAGGTTTTCATGCTTCTCTGTCATGAAATTGTCATCTTTGATACTGTTTCTCTCATTGTTCCCTGATTGCAGGGACTGCATCTGCCTTGCTCACCTCTCTATGAGCAAAAGTCACACAGACCCCATTTAAGTGAAACTTCTTCCTTTAAAATCACCTAAGGGCCAACAGGATACAATTTCCAAAAGAATTTTCCTAATAACTTGCTTTTGAGAATAACCATGTCCTCTTAAAAATATCTTCTCCATCTTTGAAAGGCAAGGAAACTAAATGGAAAAACAAGTTATCTCTTCAACACCTGGGGAATGGTTGGGGAGAATTCGCAGATTTGTTTTTCCCTAGGACATCTTGGCCCTCAGTGAATTCTACTTCCCTTAGGGTTCAGGGTCCTAGCATGTTCCCAGCATGACTTCCGCCAGAGGAGAAGTTAAAAATCATATTTTTCATCACCTAATATTCAATCCTCAAGCTGAGTCATGCAACCAATCAGCTGAATCACCTCTCTGGTGGGACGTATGGAGTATTACAGGAAGAATTTAGCATCATCTCCATTCACAAAACCAAATTTGGAGCAAGCAGTTCCAACCCTGGCTATGAATCGTCCAGGTTAGCTGTTCAGAACAATGTGTCTGCCTCCTCCCTAATCATGAACTTGGAGGCTGGCTAGCCAAGCAATACTCCAAACATTTCCAAGCATGGATAGAGAGAGAATTACATCTTGTGTTCAGTTTTTTTTTCAATCCATGTTGTAATTCTGGGAAGCCCTGCCACTGACTTCAAAAGTTCTAGAGATAAAGATGAAGGAATGAGGTGCACATGTGTCCTTACCACAACTGTGTTCAGTGCAACAATGAGATCATTGCAGTACACAGACTTGCATGGATGAATTACCATGCAGAAAGGACATTAGCATTAGCATGGAGGGAAGTGCTAGGAAAATCAGGCCTGGGCTGCTGGGATGCTGAGGGCAAACTAAGAACCCTGTCTTATTTTAAGCCCAGTGGGAAAGCCCTGGGAGACCACAACAGGTCTGGGAATAGGAGAAAGTGTTGAAATGTTCGATTTGTATGGACAGGCTAGAAATAAAGGGGGGGAATGATATGGTGGGAGATTCAACTAAGAGGTAAAGAAAACTGAAAATACCTACTGAGCACATGCACTTTATGGAAGGTTCTATAATGAAATAATGTAAAAGGAGAGTTAGGTACATAGAGCTAGCTCTAACTGATAGGAGGGCCATGGTGTTCTATCTTCCAAGTGAACAGAAGTTGCTGAGATGCCTGAAGAAGTTTGCTCCGCGAGACTTTGAGTTCTTATGCAGGCCCTTTAGAGTCATTTGCATGTGAAGTAGGCTTCTCAGATTGGGCTGAATTTGAGTGGTATGAAAATTATTTCTAGGATACTATATAGAATGCCCACTGGCATCTCTGTGTCAAGCTAGCCCACAAGAATTTCAAGTGAATCTGATAACTAAGGATCTTTGGAAAAAGCCAACCAGTCTCTATTAAGCACACATACACATACAAATGCCCTTGAAATTTTTCTTTGCCTCACTCAGCTGGCCACTGCCCTGTGACCTACAGGAATTAAAAACTATAACAAGAAAGTCACCATGCTTTTCCTCTTTCTCTTCTCTTTCTTTCCTTCATGAACAATTTAGTCCAAAAGTCAGTGGGGAGGGGCTCAACAAGATAGCGCTGCAGTGGGGGTGAGAGGAATCACAGTGGCCCAGAGTGGTGTGGGGGAGCCACAGCAGGGTGGGTGGGGAAGAGCGGTGATCTAGCACATGGTACTGGGGCCCAAGTTGGAGAAGGAAAATAGGAGATTGGTTATGTAAGGTGAGGAAGGAATTGATCAAATAATAAACACACTGAGGATAGTGAGAAACAGGGATCTTGTCAAGAAGGAGGTTACAAATATGGAGAGAATATGAACCCTCTGGTATTAGATTTGAAAGTACCAAGAATTGAAAATATCAAGAGAATATGAACCCGCTGGTATTAGACTTGAAAGTATCAAGAATTGGAAGTATCAAGGTGAGCTCATGGTTTTCAAGACAGATAGGCATGTAAGTAGGTGGATCAACAGACAGATAGACAGGATGCGTGTATATTCTCTAATTCGGCTTGTTGAAAGTGTCTTGGAGCAGTGACAATCCAGTAACAATGAGCACACCAAGCACCCGGAGTTTGGTTTCTAAATTCTATTCTCCTCTAACAGGAATTAGTGCTATTTGAAGAAATGGTTGATTTCGGGGTTAGGAAAGTGTAAGATGAGACTGGAACACCTTATGGTGTCCTAAAAGACTTGCTGAGCGAATAATGAGGACATGTCAAAAAGACACCAAAGTTAGCTTGAAAAGGCTCCCATAAGCTATGTCTAAACAAACTAAGAATAAAAATAATGGAAATGGATTCTAACCCACTGAATATAATAGCAATCCAAAAGACCACAGTGACATAAATCGATACGTGAATAGATCTGAGGTATGATGAGGAATGGAATAAATATTACATAGTGCCAAAGTAACTCCCCACAGAATATTTATTAATTACAAAGGACACAGTAATTTTACTGTAGAAGCCTGTCAGACCCCCCTGGAACAAGTGATCAAAATTAATATCGTGAAAAAAGTCAGTATCTGTCCCTGTAAGGGACACCTGATTGGATATAGTGAGAAGAATATGGCATTATTTTTGTGGTATTCCCATCAAAGATGCATAACTAAATGTACTCATGTGAAAGCATAGACAAACCCAAGCTGAGGGACATTCTACAAAACTGAGCATGATGGGGCCTCATGTTGGCAACTTACTCTCAAATGGTTCAGAATAAAAGATATTTGTACCAGGGAACTTTTCTTTAGGTTAAGATTATTTCAAAATCTAAAAATTAATAATTGAAAGAGTTACCTTGAGTCACTGTAGATATGATGGAAGCCAAGTGTCAACATGGGATTAAGATCTGGATAAACTAAGTAAAATGCCAGCAATTATATGTTAGGTAATGCTTTTTTGGATGGTCTCCAGTGAAAGAAGTTATCCCTCAGTCCATTATGAACCAATACTTAAAAAAAAAAAAAAAAAAGACACAAAATTCCACACTTGGATTTGAGGACAATATCAAATTGCAACAAGGATCGTCAGGTGCTTGTTCTCGATGTCTGTACTTATTCTCATTGTGGACCGGTCACAGAGTCCAGGGACTAGCCCAGGCCACACTTTGAGCAGTATTTCTCTACTGTACACGTGGCTCTCCAATTGCCGTCATATCCAAATAGGAAATAAAAACTACAGCAGGTCGCACTGTTACCCATAATGGTAGCAACATTAATTACCACCATAATTAGCACCAATCATTTATACAAAGCTTTCAAGAAAGGGACTGCCCAGACAATGGGAAGGGACTCAAGACGTGCCTTTAACAGAATAACTGAATTTCTCTCCAAATGCATCATAGGACAACAATGAATGAGACCACCCCTGATTCCAAGGCAACTGCATTGTGATGACTAAAAGGAAGACAAATCCAATCCTACAGAAGGATAAAAACATCTTCTACGGGTCAGTCTGGAACGCCGGGTCAGGACTGTCATTGCTAGAAAGGATCTGGCATTTAGCAGGGGTTAGCAGAGCACATGCCCCAATCAGCTGGGTCTGCTTTAACCACAGATACTAACGGTCAAGCTACGGACGCCCAGCAGTCCACACGTAGGCTCCCCCTGTGAGGGTCTGTGCCACACACGGGCCGCCCCCCTCGGCCAGAGGCAGCCTTTTCATATAAAAGAGAACAATCCTCTACTAAATCAGACCCGGAGCAGAGCCACAAGAAAGAAGCGATTGCACCGTCAGGGAAATGGCACACCAGCCAGGCCCAGGGTCCCTCTAGGGGACACTTTGACTTCCGTTGCCCGTCTCTGGACACTGACCCCTGGTGTCGGTGCCCCCTGACGCGGACTCTAGCCACACGCAGAGGAGGCTCCGCAAAGAGACACGCAGGCTGCAGTCAGCCGATCGCTGCAGCGGCTGTCCCTGGTGCGCACCTCACTCACCTGGAGCGGTTTTGCAGCTGGACGCTCGGGAGGGCAGCGACGGGGCGCTCTTGGCCCTGGGGCTCTGGGTGCTCTGCAAGACTTGTCTCTGCCTCTTCAGCTCCTCTTCCCTTTCCTGGGCTGCTCGGATCTCTTCTTCGATCATGGACAAAGTCCGCTGCTTCCTCGACCTCAGCTTGAAGGGCCCCACCATCACATCGGCCTCCTGGGTGGCCAGGAGCGAGGCCGTGCTCCTGAGCTCGGCGGCCTCCGAGTACTTGCTGAAGTAGCTCCCTTCAGGTCTGGCCTCTTCCATGCTCACGGGGCCGCAGGGCTGCAGCGCGGGCGGCGGCTGGGAGGGCCCCCTGTCCCTGAGCGCCCGGTCTTCAGTGGCCAGAATCTTTGGCAACACCTCCCTTTTCTCCTGAACAGGGGAGGACACCTGGGGTGGTTCAAACATGCTCTGCGGCTTCTCCGAGCCGGGGGCCCCAGTGCCCCCCGCTTCCTCCAGACTTGCTTGGGGTCCCTGTGCTTCGGGCCCACGCTGGCTGGCTTCGGACGCGGCCCTGTCCGCTCGCTCGGCTATGGCTTGCTGAATGGCATTCTGCACCAGGAGACCAGCCTGATATTCCAAGGGGTCATCCACCGATGGCGAATCTCCCAGCGTGGAAGAAGGGGAATAGAAACCATGATCACTAAATGACTTGGAGACGCCTTCCCCTCGGCCCTCCGAAGGGTTGTCCGTCTGCGGAGTCTGGGGCAGAGAAAAATCGGCCAGTGAGTTCTCCTGGAGGGCGTTGGTGGTTTCGTTGGATGCCCCGCTGTCACTGATGTTGTCCATACTGAAGTCATTGGACAGGGTCTCCAGGACAGTGGTGTCCTGGGACCTCACGGACAATTCATCCAAACCAGAGTCCAGCTCCTCTTGGGTCAGGGAGACATTCACTGACCTGGAAAACTGATCCAAGATCCCAGGATCGTCATCCTTGACCACAGTGAGGACGGCCCGGGCACTGGTAAACTCCCCGTCCTCTGCCCACAGTTTGGATAAGGGCCCGCGTTTGGAAGGCTCACTGTAGGGCCCTTCCTTCCCCGGAGGAGCTGTGCTGCCCTGGCTCCCCCCCGAAGACTGGCTCTCCGGGCCACAGCTGGCTTTCTGCCCCTTGGCTGCAGATGCCCCGGGGTCTTCTGGAGGCCCCCCGATGGAAGCTGGTCTCGAGATGGTCAGCGGCTTGTCTGAGCTGACCGACCCCAGGGGCTTGTAGAAGGGCTTGATGGAGAAGAGCCTGGGTGTGCTCTGGCCCTTGGCCACCGTCTGCCTGGAACTCTCCATGAGCTGGAACTGTTTGCGGGCAGCAGAGAAGTCTATCTGTTCGGTGACAATGTCCTCCTTTGCGTGTTCTGTGGCGCCGGCAGGGTCCCGGGGGGCGGCAGGTGCTGCGCATGGCTGGGGCTGGGGTTGGGGCGGCGGCGGCGGCGGCTGCTGCTGCTGCTGCTGCTGCTGCTGCATTAGCAGCTGCTCCTGCTGCGCCCTCTTCTCCTTGCGCTCCTTGTACTTTTTATGCGACTCCAGATGCTCCTCGTCCAGTTGCTCCTCGATGGTCTTCTCCTGGGGAGGGTTCCACCACTTGGCCGCAATGCCAGGGTTCTTTTTCACGGCCTGACTCCGGATGAGCTCCCTCCTCTCCTTCTCCAGCTCCACCATCTCCTCCGACGGCCTCACTTTGCGGACGCAGTACTGCTCTCTCTCGCCCTCGTCGTCCTCAAAGAGCCTGGAGGGCTTCTTGTCCTCGTGGAAGGCGCGCAGCTCAAACTTGGCCTCCTTCTTCAGCGTGGTGAGCATGGGCTCCCCCTCGCGGCCCGTGCTCCCGGGCGCCCGCACCCCGCTGCCCCCACGCCCCGCCAGCGCGTCCCGGGACTGGTCCAGGGCTGGGGCGCGGCCGTTGGCCTCTGTGGCCTCCGCCAGGGCGCCCCCGGGGGGGCCGGTGGTGGCCTCAGTGGGCGGAGGGACCCGTCCAGCTGCTGCACTCCCCGCGGGTTGGGGCGGCCCGGATGCACGGGCAGGGGGGCTGAGGCCGGGCTCCGGGGGTTCTGGGGGCTCTGGGGACTCCAGGGGCTCCGGGGACCACGTGCCGTTGTAAGCCCCGTCCGCCGCCGGGGCGTCGCAGCCACTGGCCTCCAGCACCTCGTCTAGGTAGCGGATCTCTCGGGCCACATCGTTATCCAGAACCTCGGGGCGGTCGGCCGGGAGCCCGTTGTGGGGGGGAGAGTAGAAAGGGGAGGAGCGGTCCATGGAATGTGGGGCGCAGCTGATTCCCGGGACGCTTTTGCTTTTACATTCTGCCAGCGACACCTCAATTTCCATGGCTTGGTGGTCTGGGGGAAGGGCGCTGGGTGCAGGTTCCAGGGGGTCGGCACTGCCGTCGGCTCTCTGGCCCTCTAGCCGGATATCATCCTCGGAGAGCTGGGGGGGCTTCTGGAAGAGAGACAGAGACCACCAAAGTCAGAGTCAGATGCGAAACCTCATGCGGAAGCCAACACGGGGGGGATTACTTGGTAACTCGCTGGAAGGAAAAGTGAACCGATGACGAGTTCCTTGGAACAGAGAGTTCCCTTCTAGTAATTTCTCACACGCTCGTTTTGTTGTGGTGACTCCTACGCAAACCTCTCTAAGTTACAGATTCCCCCTTTTTTTTTTTGTTTGTGGGGTGGTCCCGGAGGGAACTTACAACACATGCTTATCCCGTTTTTAAATTTCAAAGTAACCTAAGATTCAGATCGTTTGAAGATACTGTTCAGAGATCTTCAAAAGGAGAAGAGATTCTATTAGCGATTGTACCAGAGTTTTGGAAGATGTTTTAACAGTAAACTACCACTCCAGAAACATAATAGGACCATTTGTGTGTCTCCAGCTATAATAAGATGGTCCCTTCGCATGAGCAATTCTTCTTGAAAATGTGATTCTCTGCCAGAGGTGATGCAATTCTTCTGGAGGCAAGAAACTTCTTGAAAAATTTTTCCAAAATAAAACACTGGAAAACAGTAGATTCCTCCCAAGGCCCCTTAATGGCTACAGTGCCCCCCATTGTCCTGGCTCTTAATTGAGCATGTGCATTATAAACACCATAACCAAAGCCCCTGACCGCACAGTTCTGTTCTCTGGGACTACATCAAAACAATACTCCTTACTTAAGGAGTGAGTGTTGCTTCGAAAAGTTAGTGGCCAGCAGCTCCATTCCAGTTCCCTAAATGCTCTGTATGTGATAAGCTCCAATCCTGGTGTTAAATAAGAAAAGGCACCTGGTGGCTCAGTGGTTGAGCATCTGCCTTCAGCTCAGGTCGTGATCCCAGGGTCCCTTCATGCTTCTTCCTCTGCCTATGTCTCTGCTTCTCTGTGTGTGTGTGTGTGTGTCTCATGAATAAGTAAACAAAATCTTGAAAGAAAGAAAAGAAAGAAAGAAAGAAGAGAAGAAAGAAAGAAAGAGAAAGATGACATCTTCTTAGTTTCAAAATAAATCCTATCTTTTTCACCAACTACCAATCCCATGTAATTTTGTTATTTGGGATTTGTAAAATTAATTTTCAAATCCTAGGATGATTTTTCTTTTCATACTTAAGGACTCTGGTTTATCTCAGAAAATTCAGTGGTGAATTGTGAGCTTAATTAATGGGTGCCCCTCGAGGAGTTCACTGACACCTTGGTCAAGTTTGTCTTCCTCTCTCCAGTCTATGGTGTGTGCCTGGTATTATTGACAGGGTTCACGCAAAACTGCAAGATGGTATCATTTTCATTTGTGTCCATTGTAAATGATTTTAATATCGCAGAACATAATTATAAAACATGTAGGGTGATTGTATATGTATAAAACACATAATTATAAAACACATAGGATGATTCTGAGGGGAGTCATTTCAAAATCCCTCCAAGGAAAGTGCATAGTATGGATTTGTTGATGAGACTCAGGACAACATGGGAATTCACCCTATGTGCTTTTGCGCTGCTGTCAGAATGATGAAAAACTCTCATGGTTATCCATGAACTGGGGGTTTCCTTCACTCTTTATTTTCTTACATTCCCCTTTAGACCTAAATCATTCAGGTAATATATGTTCCTTCTTTAGTCATAGGCAACAACAACAACTATTCATTTGTCAACACCTTTGGGTCTTGGATGACCTTCCAGTCTAGCTCTGGTCTTTGTCCAAGTCTGGTACTGTAATACCAGATATTTATAATGCTAAAATCTTTATTTTCTTTCTTTCTTTTTTTTTTACCATCATTAACTAGTGGTTCTTCTATCTTTAGAATGAACTCAAAAGGCATGTCAAAGACGTTTCTACTGCCTTTTAAAAATATCAACTAGACTTTTTTTTTGGTAAGGCAATTGCCAGAGACTTCTGTGTCATTAAGAATTACAGAAAATTTGAATGTCTGAAATGTCCTGGCTGCCATTCAGTTTCAAATAAACCTAGGTCAAAATTAGCCCTCTCCATGGAAAGCCATTACTGGAATAAACAGACCAACAAAAAAAGATACCAGGCACTGCCACCGTGAGAGTCAGATTATCTGTGACCCTCCCACCCTGGCTTCATTTGGCCAATGATTGACTGCTAACATTCTTTATGGGAATAAGTAGAGCTTTTCTTTCTTTTTTTTTTCTTTTTTGATTTTATTTATTTATTCATGAGAGAAACAGAGAGAGAGGCAGAGACACAGGCAGAGGGAGAAGTAGGCTCCATGCAGGGAGCCTGACATGGGACTCGATACCGGGTCTCCAGGATCATGCCCTGGGCCGAAGGCGGTGCTAAACTGCTGAGCCACCCAGGCTGCTCAAGTAGAGCTTTTCTTATATCCTTTTTGGTTTGGGGTAAAAAAAAAAAAAAAAAAAAAAAGGGGTAGGAAAATGGTAGGAAGCTTGAAACTGAAAATATGGTTGAAAATCACTGCCCTATGAAACATGAAATACTTTAGTTGATATAAGAGGACAGAGGGCAAAGTAACAGTAAAAAAGCTAAAAAGGCAAAGAATTCATTCTATATTAGTCAATCCATTCATTAAACATGCAGGAGAAAAAAATAAAAATAAAAAAATAAACATGCAGGAGGCTTATTTTGTAGGGTGATAATGAGATTAGCAGCAACCATAAGCTCCATGAGACAACACTTTTTTCTTAACAAAAGCTTCCTAGGAAGCCGTAAGTCTATTTTGGATTGTATTTAGTCAGGAGGAGGGAAAAACTTGCCTCTAGTGATCTGCTGTTAATCACAGAGACAGAAGGTCCGGAGCCCACCCCCACAGCATGGCTCAAGAGTACCTCCTCTCTTTCTCCTTGGTACTTCTCAAGTGTTGGATGATGGACAAGCAGATGCCCTGCCAGCCTTTTTTCTCTTATAGAAATTAAAAATTATACCGAGGCATATTTTCTGAAGTAGCAAGTTTTCCAATTCAAAATTTTAAAAGTCTGAGAATAGCATCTGACAATATGTTTTTGCTGTGTCCAAAAAAACTACCATGAGCTTTGAGTCAGACAATGATGAGTCCCGTTCCTTGAATGTCTTCTATGATGTGTCAAACTGAGATCTTAAAAATGCTAATTACTAGTTAAAAGTCAAGAGTCTGGAGTTCCTGTGTAATTTGAGAAGATTCCGTTCCAATACATTTGTTTAAAAAAAATTGAAAGACACTGGAGGGTGTAAACAGGAAGCGGTTCTCTCTCCTTCCTGTTAGTTACAAGGGGGCTCCTCCCACTTCTTTCCACAAATGCGGAATATTTTTCTTGACACTCAGTTCTACCTACTTCAGGGAGCAGCAGCTCTACATCCTAATCAGGATAGAAGTGATTCGAGAGATTATGCTGCATTACTGATTCACAATCACGCATCAGAGGTCCTGGGTTCTTGTAAAGTTAGGCAACAATTATAACAAAAGAGCAAATTCCTGAGTTCTCTTCTCAATAGGATGAATTTACCTTCCTGCAAGATGGCCTGATGCAATCAAAGCCCCCAGTAAGTACACCAGGTAAATGGAAGTGGACTGGAAATTCCAAAGCACAGATTTGGCAGGAATCTGGGCTTGGTGTCATTAAATGATGTGTTGCTTAAACCAACAAATGCTTATTGTTCCCTTTGAAGATTAGAAAGACTAGAATTTTCTCCATGCTTGATAAGATGAACCCGATTCCAGATTCAGATAAACTGCACATTCATTACATGAACCGGAAAGTCCTTTCTGAAATAAACTGTGCCCCAAATGAAAAAAAAAAAAAAAAGATATAAATGAACCATCAGGGGCGCCTCACTGGTTCAGTATGTAGAACATATATGACTCTTGATTTGGGGGCATGGGGTTGTGAGTTCAAGCCCCACATTGGGCATAGAGCTTACAAAAAAGAAAGAAAGAAAGAAAAGAAAGAAAGACAGACCGCCAAACTGGATTTTGAAAGGGTGCTAAGAGACCCATGGGAGATCCCTAGATTCCCCCCTGCTGACCCTCCAGGTGGAGCCCTAACAGCATGACACATATCACCTGCCAGACTATGGCTTCCCAGAATAGCTAATAGCTGGTCAGGATATCTCCTATTTACTTTAAGATGTGTGGTCAGAGACAATGTAATACAGCTTAAATTATATCCAGGGGCAGACGGCCATCCTGACTGGGAATATATATCCCAAGACTGGTCAACCAGGATCTAATCAGAAATTCCAGGCCCCCTAGGTGGTTCCTTCCTGGGTAGTTTAGCTCTCTTTCACTCCCATGGCCCCCTGAGGCTTTGCTAATTGGCATAATGAAGGTGAGAAATGGGTTTTCATCAGTGAAATTAGTGGCTTGTCAATTAGCATAATAAATGTTGGAAATCGGTGAAATTGGTGGTGTTCAAATGTACAGATTAGAGATGTTCTCCGAGCTTTCCTGAATAGGATTTACGGACAGAGTGAGCACCATGGCTTATATACCCTTAGGGCTGGTGCTTGGAGACCGAAAACCAAAACCAAACCGCCCTTTCCCCAGTCTTGGGTTCAGAGGACTTTGGTTGTTTAACAACTACTCTACAGTAAGGGAATCCTGTCTTTGTAAAACCGCCTCATCTATCTTCATGCAAGGTGGGGTTGGAGCATCTAGAATCTTCCGGAGCTGAGATTTCTTTGAGGTTGCAGACAGTAGGTTTTATGCCTACTTCTGCAAATGTTTATTTAATAAATACCTGTATGAGTGCCAGCAGTCCAACACCTGCTTTAATTATAACCTGGTAGCCGGGCTGTGTCTCAAGCTGCCACTACTTACCAAAATGTACTTAAAAGTTATGCAAAGCAAGTTAGTCTGGGTTAATTCACAACCTGGGGGCCTGTGTTTCCAGTGAAAGTTCTGCAGACCCTGTGCAAGACAATCACGGGACTCTTCTTGGAAGAATATACTCCTTGGTAAGCTGGACTCATGACAAGATCTCTCAAATCTGTTTCGGGAATTAGATTAATGTGT